TTGCGTTAATCTCAGGAAAGTGGAGGAGAGCTTTTTATGACAAATCTGCTGTAGAAATTTAGTCTTTTTACATTTTTTTTTTAAATTTAGTCTTTATACAACCCCCTTCATGGTATCCCTTAGTCTCTCCCATCTAAGAAAGTTCCTTCTTCAGGATCTGAAATGATTTGCCAAAAAAAAAAAAAATAAATAAGGTTTCTACTGATTTTGCCTCCTCTGTCTAATCTCTGCATCTTACTCAGAGACCTCATTCGTTCCTGAGAAAATCCAGGCAACAAGTGATTTCATGCTGGTTTGCAGGAGCCTTTACTGCTAAACATAACCAGAGGTTGGGGTACAAGTTCCTCAGCATTGGAGGTCTGTCACCCAAGTGGGTGGATAGTTCACAGGAAAGAAAAGAAGGGACACCTGCTGGGCTGTAAATGATTATACTGTACTACTCAGATTGTGATCGCTACCCCTGGGCGTTTGATTGATGTGCTGGAGAACCGCTACCTGGTGCTGAGCCGCTGTACCTATGTGGTTCTGGATGAGGCAGATAGGATGATTGACATGGGCTTTGAGCCAGATGTCCAGAAGATCCTGGAGCACATGCCTGTCAGCAACCAGAAGCCAGACACAGATGAGGCTGAGGACCCTGAGAAGATGCTGGCCAACTTTGAGTCGGGAAAACATAAGTACCGCCAAGTAAGGCTGCTTCCCTGGGCTGGGAAAAGTGGGACAGGCCAAGGCAGATGGATCACTTGAGCTCAGGAGTTTGAGACAGCCTGGGCAACATGGCGAAACTCCATCTCTACAAAAATTACAAAAATTAGCTGGGCATGGTGGTGCGCACCTGTGGTCTCAGCCACTCCGGAGGCTGAGGTGGGAGGACCTCTTAAGCCTGGGAGGCCAAGGTTGCAGTGAGCTGAGGTCGTGTCACTATTCCACTCCAACCTGGGCAACAGAGTGAGGCCCTGTCTCAAAAAAAAAAAAAAAAAAAAAAAAAAAAAAGGAAAAGTTGTACAAGTTTGCCAACCTCCTATTGGGCCTTTCTTGCCTTAGGTGGGCTCAGAGTACATGTTTCTAGAATGAAGTGTGCCTAGGTACGGTCCTCTGACAGTCCTAAGGGTGGAACCGTTTAGCTTAGCCCTGAAAAAACGATTCCAAAGACTTATGCTGCTACCGGGACCACAGGTGCTAGCAAATGCTCTCAGGCCTTCCTGTCATAAGATGGAAAGTGCCTTGATGAACGGGTACTGGGGAAGGATGGGAATTCAGAGGACACTATTTTCTAAGGTGGTGGCTATCAAAGCCTATACTGCAACACATTTTAGATTCTTTAGTCTGGGCTGGGTTGGTGACAGTGGGATATGTAATTATGCCTGCCTGGGTGCAGGGCTGAGCCTCTTGTTTTCGTAGACAGTCATGTTCACGGCCACCATGCCCCCAGCGGTGGAGCGTCTGGCCAGGAGCTATCTTCGGCGACCTGCTGTGGTGTACATTGGCTCCGCAGGCAAGCCCCATGAGCGTGTGGAACAGAAGGTCTTCCTCATGTCAGAGTCAGAAAAGAGGTATGAGGGCACCTGAGCCAGCGGAAACAGGGTGGAGAATGAAATGGCTCTCAGAACTTTTTTCAGTGCAAGTGCAGGGCAGGGCAATTGCTTTGCTGTGTTGAGCTGCTATTTTCTTGGGCAGAATGTCATGGGCGTTGAAGACCCTGAAAGTAGTGTTCACAGATCAGGGCTGGGCATTTCACTTGGAGCGGGAGGTATTATGCATCTCGTCTTTCTCCTCTTCCCTCCAGGAAAAAGCTGCTGGCAATCTTGGAGCAAGGCTTTGACCCACCCATCATTATTTTTGTCAACCAGAAGAAGGGCTGTGACGTGTTGGCCAAATCCCTGGAGAAGATGGGGGTATGTCTGGCAGGGGAAAACAAAATCTGGCCTCTGTGGCACTGCTTTCTGAATCTAGCAAGGCCCCCTAGGCTCTTCCTTTTGATTCTCACCCTTTCTTTAACCTGTCCAGCAATCAACAAGTCAGGACCAGGGTAAAGGGTGGTTTGAGGGAGTAAAAAGAATGGAGTCAATTGCTGGGACTCCCTGTCTGCTGCAGTAATGCCAGCCAAAGCTGCCTTAGGTCTTCATCCTGGTGAGGTGGAGCCAGGGAAAGGTTTGAGACCCATATCCTGGCAGAGTCTGAGGATCTAGAAAAGAGTAGGTGAAAACTGTGCTTAGATATGTTGAGGAGAGGAGGTGATGGGGTCAGAAGGGAGCTGATAATCAGTGTCCTTTACTCCTGTTACTGGTGCTTGAGGGGAAGGGTGTGTCCCTGCCACTCAGCTCTTCAACTTCCTTAAACTTCTTGATCCCTGCTTTCTACCCTGATCTTGCCGCTAATTCTCTGAGGACTTTTCATCTGTTTGGCTCCACAGCTCTCCCAGCTGCTTTGCCTTTGACTTTACTCTGTGTGTCCCTGCCACACCACACCTTTTTCTCTCGTCCATCTCTTCAGCTCACTTGTTCTCTCCTTCCTTTCACTGCAGTCATTCTTTCTCTTGCCTCCTTCCCTTTCTCCTACCCTGCTGCCCTTTCTAACCCTCCTCTGTCTGTCCCATTCCTCTGAACTCCTGTCTCTCTCCTTGATCGCATTGCTCACTCTACCATTCTTCCAACAGTACAATGCTTGCACACTGCATGGTGGAAAAGGCCAGGAGCAGCGAGAGTTTGCATTGTCCAACCTCAAGGCTGGGGCCAAGGATATTTTGGTGGCTACAGATGTAGCTGGTCGTGGTATTGATATCCAAGATGTGTCTATGGTTGTCAACTATGATATGGCCAAAAATATTGAAGGTAAGTTCCAGGGAAAGCAGCTTCAATCCAGGGTGAAGTCAGATTCCTTATGGTGTCCCACTCGAAGTCAGGGTGCTGTCCATGGGGGGCTGTTACTGCCTTCCTCAGCTCCAAGTCTGGGATTGTTTGCTCCCATGAGAAGCGCTCCTGTCTTTTATCTTACCTGGGTTTGTTGTCCCAGCAGCTGTGTCCTCAAGAGTGTGAAGAATGAAGCTAGGCAGCTGTGGGTCTTAGTGTGGTGGGGACTACAGTCAGTAGGAGGACAGGGGAGATGGGCACCTGGAGAGGGCACTGTGGGCACCTCAGGTTCAGGCAGGACGTGCTGTATTCCCGCCTTTGGAGATGGGGTGGGAAGGATGCCCCTAGAAATGGAGGCATCAGACACGGCTCCCCCGGGCATCTGGGCTGTGCTGAGTGACGTTCTTCCCATTCCCCAGATTACATCCACCGTATTGGCCGCACGGGACGAGCAGGCAAGAGTGGGGTGGCCATCACCTTCCTCACAAAAGAGGACTCTGCTGTGTTCTACGAGCTGAAGCAAGCCATCCTGGAAAGCCCAGTGTCTTCCTGTCCCCCCGAACTAGCCAACCACCCAGATGCCCAGCATAAGCCAGGCACCATCCTCACCAAGAAGCGCCGGGAAGAGACCATCTTTGCCTGACAGAGCACTCTTCCTGTGGGCTGAGGGCATCTCCGAAGCTGCCTGATGCCTGTTCTTCAGAAACCTCACATCCCTCTTTCCAGGTCCTCACTCCTGGGTTACGGGGGCTTAGGAAAACAGTCAGACTCCCTAGCCCAGACCCTCAGGTCGGGAGGCCTGCATGTGGGACTGCAAAAGGAGAGGACGATGCTGTCGGAGGCAGGGAGAGGAAATTACCACAGCTTTTTGGCTCAGCTCTGCCCTTCTTTGCTTTGGGATTGCAGTGGGCCATCAGCTCATGCCAGGCTATGGGGGCAGCCAGTTGGCATTGCTCCCCAGACTGAACAGAAACCTGGCTGCCTAATGGGACCTCCTTTGGCACAGACTTGACTGTGTAACTGTATAAACTGCAGCAGCATCGTTGCCCTGGATGCCCCAGGGGACCTGGCACCATGAGGATTACGGACAGTGGAATCTTACTGTCATCTGGACAGCTGTTTTCCTGTTTGGATGGTAAAGAAAGTCGAGCGCCTTTAGACCTGTGCACAGTCCCGCACCAAGGGGTGCTGTGTGCTCTAGGCATCCCCTCCCCCAGGGGATTTTCTGAGTAGATGGGGGAACAGGGTGAACTGGCTGTGTCCATCTTTGTCACTGAGTGAAATCTCTGTTTTCTATTCTCTGAGAAGATAAGTTTGTATGTTCTGAGAATAAATACGTGAATACTAAGGCTGTTTATTTCCCAGCTTCTCCCTGGCAGGAGGGACACCACTGGGTGCGGGGTGGGTTGGCTTGGAAAATGAGAGACAGTCACATTAAGAGCAGAGCAGAGGGTCTCTGCTGATGATCTTGAGTGCATAGGCGGACTTGAGGGGAGATGCAGAAGCCATGCAGGACTGTAATGCATCTTCCGCCCCTGTTGTAGCCTGGTGGAATGTGTGGCCCTGGCCTGGACACCCGCTAGGAAGCTTTAGGCCAAGGTGAGAAAGGAAAGCAGTTGTGAAATTTTGGCAGGTGAGGCAGTTGGAACCACTCTGCCACTGTGTGCCCAAGGCCTGGTCTCAGCATCTTTGCTTGCGGCTCCCTAGTTGGACCCATTGCTCCTGGGAGGGGATGGTGCAGGACGGGTGGACTCAGCTGTGTCAGGCTGTGGTGATAGGAACGCAGGGCTGCAGTCCTCCCCCCGTACCCCTCTTGTTCACATGCTCTTCTTACCCCACAGAAAGAGTTGGCCTAGTACACGGAGTTCAAGTTGTAGCTGCTTCTAGGGCCTTTTTGGCCTGGCACAAGGATAGTGTAAAGCCGTGACCAAGCATCTTCTTCCCCACATCCCAGGACAAGCTCTTTTCATGCTGCTGGATGTCTCCCTTTTGACACCTGGGCATGAGGAGTGAGGATGCCTGGGAGTGGAGTGCCTCCCCAGCTCTGCCTTTGTCCCCTTCCCGCCGGACAGATTCTCTGAGAGAACGGCGGCCCAAACACATCTTTCCCTCCATCAGACTTGGGCCGCATCATAGAACAGAAGCCTGAGGGACTGTGTATGATGTTTATTAGTGATGACAGTGAGGTGAGGCAGGGGCTTGTGGAGCATGCTCTGTAGGTCACACACTAGAGCCATAAGGCGAGAGTAGCCAGGGAGACAGGTCCTGTGTGCCCTGTCTCTCCCCATCTAACCCTAACCTAACAAGCGGCAGCTATGAGTCAGGGAACAAAGTCTGGAGCCCGGTTCTCCCAGGATGTATGAGGGACAAGAACAGAAATGACAGGATGCAGGGCAAAAGAATGAGAAAGGCAAGGAGGCCCCCGTAAGTTCTCTGCTACACACACCCTCCTTCCCCAAACCCCCATCCAGGTTAGCTCCCGTCTGCCACTTGGCTTCACCATGCTCCTGGCCCCTGGTCCCGTCACATGTTAAGAAGCTTTCTGGCAGAATGAGGAGAGCCCTTCTCTCCAAGAGCTTCGGCTGTGAGCTCTCTCTGGCCCGAGTGTGGCCAGCCTGCTGATCCAGTCTTGGATGTGGATGCCCCACCCCAGCAGACGGATAGGTGTGCCACCCCGGGGGGGCTTTGATTGTCTCATTTCTAGTATGTGGCAGTGAGGTGACTGGAGGCCCTCGGATGCCAAAGCAGTCCCTTGACTGTCAGGACTTGCACCTGCTCAGGGACCTTGTTTCTTCCTCATGCCATGGTGCCCACACCCCACCTTTTTGTCACTTTGATGGGGCATCCCTTCCCTGAGTCTGGTGGGAAGGCCCCTGCTAAGGGGATCCTGGCTTGAGGGCACTGCCCAGTGGGCAGCTTCCTGTGTGGGAGAAGAGGAAGGTGCCAGGGGTACAGAACACACAGCTAGTACCTGGAATGGGAGCCTAGTAGGGGTCACTGCCCAGGAGGTGAGGGGGCCCCCTGTTTCTCCCAGAACCTTGGGACCACAGGCAGCCCTGAAGCTGGGGCTGAGCAGGGGGTTTTGGGGGCTGAGCCTAATGCCAGCCTAATGCCAGTCTAACGCCACCCTGCCTGGAGTGGGCCCCCCAGCCAGCTGTGCCTGTACCTGCCAGGGTAGGGCAGCAGGAGGCTGTCAGTAGCTATCCTTGGGCCAAGGCCGGTTGCGCTGCCAGTTCCGGTCATTGTGGTTGTGCTCCGAGTCCTGGGCTAGAAGCCGGTCTTGGGGGTCATGCCCGTTAGCACTAGGCAGCCCCGAGGTGTGTTGGCGGTGAGGCTGGTACAGGTCCTGGTAGGCATCTGCATAGTCCTCCTCCAGGTGGCGGGAGCTACGCTGTGAAGATCCTGTCCAGGCTTGGCGGGAGCTCTCGCTGGCCTCATCGGAGGGCATCAAGCTGTCCCGCTCGAGGGGGGAGTGCTCCTCGCCACGCTCCCCGAGCAGCTGCTGGTTCTGGGGGCCACACAACAGCTCTGAGTGAGGCAGTACAGACCTCACCTTGTCCTCTGGTGAGGTGCGAGATTCCTCCCCGCTCAACTCTCAATTCCCCGGTACAGGAATTAGTGCAAGGAAGAAGCATGCTGGAGCATTTTTCTTCTTCCAAGAGAGAAAAGCTGGAGCTTCGACTCCTGCAAAATTCAGGCTCGGCCTTCAAGGCAGCCTGGGAGAAGATTTGGAGATTGTGTTTCTTTTGACCCCTAGGAAACTAATCTCTGATGTATCCATCTCATTGATTGATTCCCTCTCTCCTCAGGAAGCTCCTTTGCCTGTCTGCACTAGCTCTGTACAGCAGAGCTGAGAGTTCTACAATCCTTTGGCATGCTGAACTGGAGGCCAAGGACAGTCCTCTGAGCAGGGAGGGGCAGGCAGTGCTTTGGCTGGCTTAGCTTGAGCATCTCTGCCCACTGGAAATGGTTACCTGAAGTCCGGGGATGACACTGGGAGGACCCAGAAGTCCAGGGCCAGGGGCTGGGTGGTGCGTAGCCCGCCAGTAAACCTCCAGGTACTCGGCCAGGTGCTCACAAGCATCCTCCAGCTGGTTCTCATCCAGAATCACATCAAATGACTCCTGAGGAGGGGGAGGAAGGTGCAACATTGGTTTCCCCTCAGCAGCAGCCCCCAACCCATCTCTGTCACTGCCGTAGCCCTGGGGGAGTGGGCACAGGAGCAGCTGACCCAGGCACTCACCGGTGGACACTGAACCAGCTTATCGTATGCCATCATCTGTACGGTCAGGTGCTTCATCTGTGACTTCCCCCGGGAGCGAATGAGACGCTGGAGTACCTAAGCGGGGAGGGCAGAGCTAGGCCTAGAGTCTCTCAGGACTCTGGGTAGAGCTAGGCATTTCCTCCACTTGTGGCATCGGTAGCAGGTGAGGATGACTCAGAGTCGTGTTAAAGGGCAGCAGGAAAAGGGAACTCAGGTGCCAAGCAGGGACCAAGTAGAGTCGTGCCACATTCTAGTAGGGTAGCCCTGTGGGCCTCCTCCATGACCCCAGCTGACTTACCTTTGGTGAGGACACTTTGACAAAAACGATGATGGGGGCCAGCGAGGTCTTGGCCAGCTGTGCTGGGTGGTTGATGGTGTCAGCGTCCAACACTACTAGCTGCAGGGATTTGGCCAGCTCAAATATGCGCTCGATCTCACTCTGCACTTCCGCTATGGAGGGAGGCAGCAGCAGTGCTCACCAGGAGCTCTGCCCACTGCTCACTCCAGCAGGCTTTGAGGGCTCCCAAATGGTGGACAGGAAGGAATTGGAGAGAAAGGGTATTCATCGAAGCCTGGGCAGGCAGAGGAATGGGAATTGAGGAGGAGGGGTGTGTTCCTGCCAATCCTGGGGGCAGGTAGAGGAGTTGGGCAGAAAGACAAGGAGGCAAGGAAGAGAAAAGGAGGAGGGGCCAGGCATGGTGGCTTATGCCTGCAATGTCAGCATTTTGGGAGGCCAAGGTGGGCCAATCACTTGAGGTCAGGAGTTTGAGATCAGCCTGGCCAAACCCTGTGTCTACTAAAAATGCAAAAATTAGCCAGGCATGGTGGTGGACACCTGTAGTCCCAGCTACTCAGGAGGCTGAGGTGGGAAGATTGCTTGAACCCAGAAGGTGGAGGTTGCAGTGAGCCGAGATCTCACCACTGCACTCCAGCCTGAGCGACAGAGTGAGATTCCATCTCAAAAAAAAAAAAAAAAAAAAAGACAGAAAGAAAAGGGAGGAAGAAGGTTCTCACTGGTGCTTGAGTGGGCACAGAAGTAGGTGGCGGGGACTTCTCACCGATGCTAGAGCGGGCAGAGGAGCGCTCAATGATGGTCCTCTTGCCAGGATTGTTGAGCACAGATCGCTTTGCCAGGGAGAGGTCGGCTGTGACTCGAGTGATGGAGATCCTGGGGTGGGAGTGGAGAATCCCAACTAGCTTCTAAACCTGTGCCTCAGCCTCTCCTTACCCAGCTCCCACTAACTCTTCCCTTAGAGAAGACTTGCTACAGCATCTGGAAGTAGGCCATGAGCTTCTCCTTGGTTCTCAGGCCACCTCAGGCCAGGGCAGCTTACCTGCCATCAAATCTGTGTTTGAGGAAGTCAAAGAGAGCCTTCTGCATCATGTCTGTGACCTGGTGGGAGGGCATGGCGCTGATGAAGGGCCCTTTTGGAGACAGGCAGCCTCCCCATGCATGGCCCCAGAGTCGACGTCCTCCACATACAGACCCTGAAGGGAGGAGATAGACCCCTTCCACTTTCCCTAGGGACTTCCTGTGGCAGGCTTGGTAGAGGTGACTCTTTGGGGTCAAGGACCTTCCCTCACCTCATAACCTTTCAGAGAGGGTCCGACCAACACCACAGGCCGCATGGAGGGCACCACGTCATATGGGGGAACATGTTCCGCCTGCAGAATGGACATGAGGTCAGTAGAAACCATGGCCCTAGTGCCTGTCTCATGCCTGGTTGGTGTCAAGGCAGATCCAGAGGTTCTGGGCTCCCTCCCTTCTCTGTTCTGCCCTCCAACAATGACTGCCTAGAACACTGTCCCCAGAGCCATAAGCCATGATCCCCCCCGGCCCAGGTCCCTTCCTTGACTCACCTGCTTTTGCTTCTGCTTGGCTTTTCGGAAAAGGAAATACAAGATTAAAGTTGGTGAAGGGGGAAAGGTCCCTGGGGGCACGGTATCCCCATCCCCAGGGAGATACTGGCTTCTCCCCACCCCTTCTGATCCCTCCACAAAACCCCTTCCCACACAGTTCACTTGGGCAGAATCCCCCCTTTCCCTGTGTCTCAGCTACCCGCCTACCCAGAATGGGTGGGTTGAGGGGAGGCTACCTAGAGATGGTGGAGGGGAGCGTCGGTTGCCAATGTCACTCAGGCTGGAAGGGTTCCCGGATCTCCTGAGAAGAAAGGGAGGCGAGAGAGAGGGAGAGAAGAATGTGTCTCTGTGTACGTATGTTCTATGCATTATTTAATAATTGTACACATTTCCATATGCTTTATCTAGTGAGACAGGTGTACATGCAATATGTGTGCATTCGTGTGTGTGTGTAGATTTGTTTAGTGTGAGTGTGTAGAGCCGGGCATATGTGCATGTGTATTTCAGGGGGATATGCATATGTGTGGCATGCATGACGACGTGTCCTGTGGGTACAGTTCAAGTGTTTGGGGTGTGTTTACTGAGTCACAGCCCAACTCTCACCTGGCCTTCTGCTCCTGTTTGAGCCGGATGCTCTCCAGGCGCTGGGGGCTGGGGATGAAAGCGATGTCCCCGCCCTCTTTCACTAGCCGCCCGATCCACCAGTCATTGCTGTACTTCTGGGGGTGGGTGGAGCAGGAAGGGTGGTGAGAGGAGCGCCCTGCCCAAGTCCTGGTTCTTCAATGTGAAGAAGCCAGCGAGGCAGTCACTGAGCTGGTCTAAGGAAGGCAATGCAAGGGGCCGTGGGCAGAAGGGGCCAGGGGAAAGGGCAGCCAAGTTTGGGCCACCCAGGATTTCTGAGTGAGGCACTGCAGCTGTCATAGGGGACCTCGGAAGCAGCTAATCTAACTGCTCACTTGATGGACATGGAGACTGAGGCCCAAGCCAGGTCTCAGAAGGATGGAGACCCTGGGGATGAGATCTTAGATATGAGGGGTGGATAGGTGTGTGTTAAGGAGAAGAGCTGATTAGCTTGGGGAATTAGACTGAGGACTGAAGTAAGAAGCATTGGGATCTGGGGCAAGAGCAAGAAAATGAAGTGTCAGAGGCTTAGAAGTGTTAGAGCACGGGGGTCGGTCACCTCTTTAATGTGCAGAAAATCTTTGGCCTCAAAGTTGACTCCAGAGCCCTGGACTGGGCACTCCTCATCCAGTACGCCACAGTAGCTGACATTGGTCCTCACCGCAAATGCCACAGGTTTGTGCTGGAGAATTTGGCCATTAGTGCAAGTGAGAGAAGCCTCGGACCACCCCTTCCAGCTTCAGTGCCCCAACAGCAGAAGGCCGTGGCCTCTGCCCCTCACACGCACCCTCTCACACTCAAGGACATCCTGCCCAAGGAACCCTTGGGACTTAGGACCAAGTGCAGGTTTCCACCTAGTTTGGCCTCCTGTTTTGCCCCATGCCCAGAAAGTATACCTTGGCCCTTTCGAGCTGCTGCTGAGCCTGGCTCTCTACTTCACGCCGGGCACTTTCCCGGTCCTCCTCCAGGGAGACGTCTGAGTCCAGAGATGGGCGGCTGGTGTAGGAGTCAGCTGAACCCTGGGTTGGGAAACAGGCTGTGACTCCCAGGCTCCGGCGTGAAGGACGCTATGGAGACACCCTCCTCACCTTACAGTGTTGCCTCTGTTGACCCGTTTCTCCATCTCCAAGGGGGTGGCTGGGTCCCTATGGCCCCTCCTATCCCCTGAGAAGGGCCCCAGTGCCTCTGAGGCTACAGGAAACCTGGCCCCATCTATAGGTGCAAAGATCTGGGCCCCTCCTCCCCCAAGCCTATTAATACTACAGCTTTGAATAGAGCCTTCACTTCTCTCTTTCCTCCCTTTTCTCCCCTCTAACATGTCCTCTGAGCTGAGGGAAGGGAGGAGTGCTGAAGATGATGTATTAGAGATGATTCTGGATCCAGGAGACCCAGCCCTTTTGTTCACAGCAGCCTGCAAAGCAGCCTGGACATCATCCCTTTAAGATGCCTGGCAGGAGTCCAGCCAGCAGTAACAGTCAAGAGACGCTGGTTGGCACAGCACCAGTCCTGAGTGTGGGGATCCAGCCATCTGCCCCCTAAGATCCCACTTTGCCTACTCCAACAAGGCTCTGAAGGCTCTCAAATGGTAAGCCCTTACCCTTCCAGGGTGAAGAGGAGGACACAAAGCTGCCAACTCCTAGAAGTTACCTCCCTTTTGCTCTCCCCACCCCCTACTTTTCTTCCTTCCACACCTGCTGGGGCAACTGGCCAGATGTAGGCAGCAAACAAGACACAGACTGAGAAGAACACAAAGCTGTCTCCCTGGACGCAGGTGAGGCTGGGCCATGCCTACCACTTGGCCTACATCTCCCCAGTCCTTTCCCAGGCCCAGGGGACATTGGCCCTAGAAGAAGGCTATGCTAGTGCCAGACAACTCAGCCATGGAGCAGGACCCTGGGGATGTGGGGAGTGGGTAACATGAGCAAGGAGAGTCTCTGAGTCCTGCCCATGGGAAAGGTCATAGGCAATGAGGGTGCATTTGAGGGTCACAGAGCTCAGCTTCAAGGCCATGAGGGAGAGGCACAAATGAGTAAGGGATGTTGGACTTCGAGACAAGAGCCCAGAGGTTAGGATGTCTGGGTTTCCTCCTCTGCCTAGGGAAAGAGTGTTTCATTTCCTGCCTCAGTATTCCCTCTCTGTGGGGAGAAGCCTCAAGTGATACTTCCCACAATTCCGAGATGCCAGTGGCAGAGAGAAGGGATAAGCCTAAATAAGGGGTTCATGCAGGAGTGTGTGTGTGTATAGGGGAAGGGGCTTTAGAATGTCCTTGGGTGGAGAAATATTCTCTCAAGCTCACTGGGCACGACCACCTACAGAAGGCAGCAGAGGCCAGACTCTCAGAGGAGAAGGCAAAATCACACACCTGCTGTCCACTGTGCCCTCTACCCCCACCCTGCCTTGGGCAAGAGGGCTGTTCAGCTGGGGGTCAGCCCAGGCTCTCGAGTCTTAGGCTAAAGACAGTGTCTATAGTACACCAAAGGCCTGAAGATAGCACAAGGGGGAAAGTTCTTTCGTTTTACAGAAGAGTAGAGTCTGCCCGCTGCTCCTCATCTCTCCTGAGAACAAAATGAGGCTGGATGGCAGCAGGAAAAGTGGGGGTTGAACCCCAGAAATAATCTTGGCACAGGGTGAGGGACCTCCTTCCTAGGGGTCTTAGGACACAAGAGAAACCTCTGTGGGATGTTAGTATCTGAAGCGACCAGACAGGGGCCAATAGGCTGGGAGGCAGAAGGCGAGGCAGATGACCACTCACTTTGGTACAGATACATCGGGTACCTCCCAGAAGCCCAGCACCATGCTAAAAGAGGAGTCTGACCTTTTCTGCCTGCGCTCCAGACTCTCAGCCCAATTTAGTAATCTTTATTTTTATTATTTTATTTATTTACTTAGAGACAGGTCTTGCTCTGTCGCCCAGGCTGGAGTGCAGTGGCACAATCGTGGCTCACTGCAGCCTTGAACTCCTGGGCTCAAGCGATCCTCCTGACTCCTGAGTAGCTAAGACTACAGGCATGCACTACCATGCCTACTAGTTTTTTGTAGAGACAGGATCTTGCTATTTTGCCTAGGCTGGTCTCAAACTCCTGGGTTTAAGCCATCTTCCTACCTTAGCCTCGCAAAGCACTGAGATTATAGGCATGAGTCTCTGCGCCTGGTTTAATTTAGTAATTTTTTTTTTTTTTGAGACGGAGTCTTACTGTGATGCCCAGGCTGGAGTGTAATGGCGTGATGTTGGCTCACTGCAACCTCTGCCTCCAGGGTTCAAGCATTTCTCCTGCCCCAGCCTCCTGAGTAGTTGGGACTACAGGCATGCGCCACCATGCTAGGCTAATTTCTGTATTTTTAGTAGACACGGGCTTTCACCATATTGGCCAGGCTGGTTTCCAACTCCTGACCTCAAGTGATCCGCCCGGCTCGGCCACCCAAAGCGCTGGGATTACAGGCCTGAGCCACCTTGCGGCCTAATTTAGTAGTAATAACGCCTGGGGCATCTGGGGTTACCTGACCTCTCACCCTGGGATGGGAATCACAGGATCTCTCCCTAAATAATTAATGAGTTGTGCTCAGAATGGAAGCCCCTCTCCATTACTCCCAAGTCCTCCAGGCTAACTCATCTCTCGTGCTCCGGTATTACTTGGGGAGGCCAGGGCTGCCCTGCCAGGCATGATCTAGGGTCTTACCTTTCCTGTACCCTGCTACGCCAAAAGAGCCAGAGTGTCAGTACTTTGGAGCTGCCAGGAGTTGGCACAGTGCCCTGGTGGTGCCCCCCTTGCCTAGTGAGTGTGTGGGCAGGCTGCAGCTCCTCTCTTGCCTGGCACGGGGGAAGGAGAGGAGGGAGATGAGCCGTTGGATTTATTTAGAGCCTGATCTCCCTCCTACTGCTTCAGAGGGGGCCTCAGAGAGAGCAAGGAGCCAGGCAAGAGAAAGGGAAGTGGGGGAGGGTGATCAGGAGCCAGAGAGCGATGGGAGGGAGCAATGGGTCAGCAGGCTGTCCTCCAACACCATCCACATGTCAGTCTGTTCCTTGCAATAGCCCTTGTCTTCTCACCAGGGATGGGAAGAACCTCCTAGGGCCCTCCAGCCCCACAGAGAGGTTTGTTCTCAAGCTCACCTTGGCACCCTGGGCTATACCAGCTGTCCCTTCAACTGTCAGAAAGAGGTGTCCACCAGAGCCTTGAAAATGATCTGCTCTAGCAGCAATGTAATTACCCCAGAGGCCCCATGGAAAATTGGGCCCAGAAGGAGCCCAGTCCCAGAAAAGGACAGTTGCCTATTCTGAGCATCAGCACTCATCTATCCTGGACCTGGCAGCAAGTGATGGGAGAAGAATGGAACATACTCCTCTTTCCGACCCAGGGGTGCTCCATCCTATTGGGACCCCTTCCAAGCCATCTATTGGTCCACTCCTAAGGAGGCCTTCTTACAGGACATTTGAGGGAAAGTTGGCAGCTCCAAGGGTCTGAGAAGCTGCTCCGCATTCTTGCCCCATCTTTCCAGGCACTCTCCCTGCTGTCTGAGCTCCGGGAATCACTGCTTAATGAGCTGATTTGTCTCAGTGGGTCAGGAGATAAAAGCAAAGAGGAGAATTAAATATTTATTGGTTGCCTGTTTCTCTGAGCAAAGCGCATCCTCTCCATCCCCAGGACCTCAGCTCCTCTGGCCTCACCTCCAGGCCCTCCATACTGGGCAAGAGCTCAGGATGCCCGCTGCTCAGAGGAAGCCTCAGCAGGGGGCTGTGGAATGGATGGGGCTCAGTCACCTGGCCTACCCATGTGCTGGGTGCCCAGGTTTCAGCCTGAGAGAGAAACTGGGCTAGAGAAAGGGTGAGGAGATGAGGCAGTGCGCAGAGATGGAGGGGGTAGAAGGGAATAATGGAGCTCCTCAAGTTTTAGGATCCCTCTGTCTAAAGAGGCTGGTCCCTGGCTCCCTGGTGTCCTCTCAACTCCCTAATGTGTTGTTTGCTTGAGGCACAAGAGGTCCGTAATGTCTGCCTCCCCAACTACCTCGGCGGCTCTCCTAGCTGTTGTGTTCAGACCCCAGAAATCCAGAATTTGGAACTCCAGACATGGCGTGTTCCCTCTCCAGAGCCTCTGTGCCCTCGGCCTCCAGCCCTGCCTCCTCCCACCCCTCTTTCCTGGGCCGTGGAGCCACCTGCTTGAGCCCTTCCCCTATACTGCCCCCTCTCTGCACACACCCGATGCCTCAGGGTCTGAGTCTGGGTCGCTGGGGAGCGCTTGGCATGAAAATCCATCTCCCCACGTTTTTAGAGCGCCCCCCTACACACACTGCCCTGCCACTGAGGCGTTTTTCAAAGTCCTGAACTGGGGGAAGGGTTGAAGGGAGAGGAGGTGTCACCCCAACTTCCCCGCCCCCACCCTCACCGTGGGCACTCACCGCCTCCGAGTCCTCAAACCCGGGCACGTAGGAGTCGTCATACATGGGGGAGTCCGGGTGGGGGAAGCGAGCGGCGCCGGGGGCGGGAGCGGCCCGGAGGCAGGGGCGAGGACTGCGGGCCGCGCCCGGGAGATGCCACGGAGCCCCGCAGCCCTGCGGGCGGCGGCGGGGAGCGAGAGAGCGCGAAGGAGGGAGCGAGCCGCGAAGACCAGCTGCTCGGAGCTCAAATCACCGCTCCCCCCACCCCACCCCCCCCAAACCCAGCCGGTCCCACCCCGAGCGCGGCTGAGGAATCTGGCGCCCGCTCCTACAACAATAGTGCCCGCCCACCTGACCCCCTCCCTGGGAGAAGGCGGGGGCGGCGAGGGGGCGGCGGCCACCGGGGAGCCCGGGCCAGGCCCGGAGAGGGGAACGGACCCGTGCTGGGTGGAAGGTGGGTCCCCGAGCACCTACGGGGCCTTGGCGGCTGGGAGGAAGGGGAGGAGAGGCTGCGGGCGGGGCGGATCCAGGCAGGGAGGAGGCGGGGCGAGGAGAGATGCGGAGACAGAGACGCTCGGCAACCCAGGAACTACTCCGCCGGGAAACAAAGGGCTGCGGCGGGGGAGGGAGGGGGCGCTGAGACCGCGAGGAAGACGCGACCCGGGCGGAGACTGGAGAGGGCGCAGGTGTCGAGGAATCCGGAGAGAGAGAGGCAGAGGGAGGACGGAGAGGACAGGAAAATGGGGAGACCCTGGGAGACAGAAGAGGCGCGGGAACAAGCGGCAGACGGGGGAGGGGTCCCAGGCGACAGCAGTGCGGGTATGGGCCCATGCGTCCCGGAGGCTCCGAAGCAGACCCCGCAGTAGTCCCGGGGAGGAATGGGCTTAGTGCCCCCAGGCTAATGCCAGGACAGCAACTCCTGCCCCAACAGGTGCCCGGCCCCCTCAGTACGGGAACGCTGCGGCAAAGGCGGTGTTGCCTAGCCCTTGAGAAGGGGGGAACTTTCCGTGAGCTGGGTAGGCCTCCCCACACCTGTTGCACAGATAGATTTCGTCTTAGTCCGGCCAGGATGGGGGTTCCGTTCCCCACTTCCCTGCCAAGGATCGTGCCAGACAGTGCCAAGGCATCCGTGGGAACTGGGTCAGACAGGGGCTGTTTTAGGTGAGCCTAAAGGGAGGGGAGGGAAACCAGAGGGTGGTGGTAGGGGATAGTTGTGGGTGGGATCCTGGCTACACTGGGGTTGGGAGAGGAAAGGGCCAGTCTCCTCAGAGTCACGAGGGTAAGGCCAGATTCTCCCCTCAGCAGAAGGGCTTGTACCACTCTGCACCACTCAGTCTCCTTCACAGGAACACTGAGATTTGAGGTAAGAGAGCCGCAGCCCTTATACTGAGGAAACTTTCCCCAAAGATCCACCCATTTGAGCTCTCTCCTTTTTTCATCTCCTGAGCAAAATCCCTTCTTTGATTTTTGACTGCCTACCTTTGTGCCCCACAAGGAGGACGTCCATAGACAGGGGTACACTTGGAGGCCTCCTGGTGCCCATGCCCTTGGCCCTGAGCTCAGTCCTTTTCCTTTCCCAATTTCTCACACCCGGGAGTTCAGCAATCTGCTCATGCCTCCTAGGCTTGAGGGGAATCAGACATCCAAAACTCTGACATAGCTTAATAAGATCTGTGGTAGAAGGCACTGTGCATGGGAGAGAGAAAGCCCACCCAAACCAAGTGGCTTCCCACCTGGGTCACTTATCGGTGTTATCTGAGCAAGAAAAAGAAGAGGCTTCATCTTCAGACTGACATCTTTAGTCTGTCTACTGTGGGTGGCCCAGAGCAGCCCTGCCCAGCACCTTCCTCATGCTGGGTTTGACAAACAACTTTGTTACAGCCCCTGTGGCTGAAGGGACGTCGCTATTGGGGGAGGCAGTCAGCTTTCACAGTTGCCTCTCCTGAGTCCAGCACCAATTGGGGTTTGGCCATATACTGGATTCGTATTGGAAGTTCCCAGACACTGCCCACTTTTGTCCCCTCACCCAGTTACTCAGTATTCCTTGTATCCCCCTCTTTCATCCTTTCTTTTCAATTCCTTCTGTCTTTCAGGGGCCAAGAGAGGTGTCAGAGAGTAAGACCCTCAAGGTGCTTTTCTCCTGGGAGATGGTTCTAATGAAGAAAGCAGTGGTGGAGGCAGCTGCTTCTCTTCCCATCCCTGCATCCACTCTCTTGGCCTCTCCTTTTGGGACTCTCCCACCCATAGAAGGTCCTGGGGCTGTAGGTAACAGCAGATCTGCCATGGGCAGCACTCCTTCCTCACACTCCTTGTAATCTCCTGCGACAAGGTTGTCTAAGTCTGCTCCTGAGGCATGTGTTGCCATGCCAACCATCCCCAGGAGATGGGTTCAAGTTCCTCATACCTGGCCCTTCCCCTGGGTCCTGCAGGAGCTTCAGAACTTCCCTCCTTCTCCTCATGTCTCTGGGTTGCTACCCAATGCCCCTTTCCTTTCTCATCTCACCCACACCTGCCTACTCCAGTTGTAATGCCAACTTGGTGACTTCTTGTCCTGTGACACGACATGTGCCTGTCAGTATCCATGTGGCCCTAACCTCTTTTCTTTTTCATGGCTGGGCATAAAGGGAGAGAGCTGAGGGCAATAAAGGATCAGGGGAGAGGCTCCTCCTGCTGATTCTTTCTAGGAGAGAGTTGTTAGACTGGCAGCTGGCAGGTACCCAAGTCATGGAAGCAAGACATAAGAGGAAAACCCTGAATAATCAGGTTTGGGAGTTGGAGTTCTTGGGAGGTTTCAGAATACATTCTAGCTTCTCCTGTAAGTGCACCAGGAAGCTGGGCAGATCCCTGTCCCTGGGCACTGAATGGGGAAACTGAGGCAGAAGCTAGGCCTTCTGGGAAGACTTAAAGACTCCTCTCCAGCAGTTTTTAAGATCTGGACCAGATAGAGGCCCCTACCATTCTGGCTGCTAGGCTGCCAGGGAACTCGGGGACAGGCACTAGGGGAGCTTGGCAGAGCCCTTCTTGTAATCTAGCCCCTTTTTTCTGGCTTCCCGGTCAGTCCTCTCCTCCCATCCAATCCCAGTACTAGGAAGCTGCCAGATCTGGCCGCTCCCTCCTCTCTAACCCGGTGCCTCTTCCACCCCTGGTTTCACTTCGTCGGGTTTCCCTCCCTCCCCATCGGTGCAGTCTCACCCAAACGCGTGCCCCCTTCCTAGCTTGGAGCGGAGCTCTCCTCCCATCCAGTGGGGAACCCCCCTCCCCCGACCCCCTCCCCCCACCACGGTTACCTCGTTCAGCAGGAAGGTTGCACTGGAGTCAGAAAAAGACATAGACCAGGCTAGCGGCTTCTCCTCCTCCCCCGGGCCAGGGGCTCCGAGGCGGGAGCAGAACCCGGCCGCTGCTCTACACGCTGCTCCCGCCTGCACGCCTGGCCTCGCCCCACGCCCGCCCGGCTTCGCCGCCTGCTCCCTTCCCTCTCTCCTGGTTCCCTCCCTCTTTCTCCTCCCTCCTCCCTCCCTCCCTCTCCCTTCCTTTCTCACCGCCTCTGTCAGTCTCTGGCTCTCCCCGACTTTCAGCCCAGCCTCTCTCGCCACTTCCGTCTCTCCTAAGGTCCCCGTTCTGTTTTTCCGTGTGCCTCCCACTGTCCTTCCATCCCCACGTCGCACCCTCGCTCCTCAGCTTCCCCTGCCCCTCTGCTTCTTCCCTAAAGTCCTCCCAAGAAAGGGTAGGGACTCTGGAGCTTCCGCCGCCGCAAGCAGAAGGGCAGGAACAGCTCCAGGGCTGCCCCAGCACCTGAGCTCTTGGCGGAAGCTTCTGCTCCCTCCCGGCCCTGCTCTGCGCGCTGGGCGCGCATCCTCCGGCGGCGACTGCGACCCCGACCTCGGCGGGGAAAAGGACCGAAAAGCAAGAGTGCTGGTGCTCGGCTCGCCTGCCCAAGAGTCAAGGCGCCCATCTACCCCTCTCTGGCCCGGCCCTGTGTCTCCAGCGGGATCGGCATCCCTGTGGAGACAGCCCAGCTGGGATCGCCCCGCGCCCGCGGAGTCTCTGCTGTCTCTCCTCTCTCCCGGGTTCTGGTGCCGCGGGTCTCAGCTCCTCGAACGGGAAGGTCAAGGCGAAGCGACGCAGCTCCCTCTCGACCGGCTGCAGCGCCCTGGGCTCGCTGGCCCGGCGGCTGCACGCGCCCTCCAGGTGGCGGCACCGCCTGGAGTCCGGTCCCGGGGCCGCGGGGTCCGGCCCTGCCAGCAGGCGGCGCTGCTCGGGCCAGAGCAGGGGGGACGCACCCCGGATCCAGACACCGCCCAAGCCCAGGACGAACCCCTCTTCCCCTCCTTTCAACAGGAACTGCAGTCCCATCTCGAGACCCCCAGTAGGAGACCCCAGGCTGCCTTCTACTTATCCCCACCCCGTAGGGCACCTTCGAGACACCCGTGCCCCTCCGGGACCCTAGCCCGTCCCTACCTCCATCCTGGTGTCGAGGGGCTCCCCACCTAAGCCGGGCAGCGTCCTGGCCGGGACTGGGCAGCAGGGAGTACAGAGTCGCGGGACCGCTCTTCGGGTCAGTACCCCTCCCGCCCCTTTCTGCGGGTGCGTCAAACAGGACAAGCCCAAGTTCTGGCGGGGGAAGGGGGAGCGGGGGTGTAGTCCCAGTTGGCTCTCTCTCTGGACCCTTCTGAGCGGACAGACCGCTCATTGGTCCCTTCACATCCCCAACGCCCCCATGCTGGACCCTTTTCCAGACCAAAGACGGCACCTGGGGCGGGGAGAGACGGACCCCCTTCATGGAGACAGACACACGCTGACCCAGGTCCCCAACTTCCCCTCAGCATTAACTAGAACTCTCTCCCCTTTCCAGTGGAGGGCGTCCCACCCTTCTTCCCGGCCCTTCTTTTAACCCACTTCCCCTGGGAGTTCTCGGGACCCCTCACCTCAATGCTCCCATCCCTGGGATCTGGGGAAATTGTTCCTCTCTGCTCAGCTGACCCTCCACTTGCCCCCATTTCTGAGGGAGCTAAGTTGGGGGAGAGTAAATTCTGTCTCCACTCCCGGCTCCTCCCGAGGCTGGATTTAACCTGGAAAGTGCTTTGGGAAGGCACCTCCTCCCCCACTCCCTCTGTAGTCTAGTCTAGTGGATCACGGAGCCCCTACCACCCACCCATCCCCAAGTTGCTCAGCTTCGACCATTCAGAGGAGAGAAAGAGGTTATGTGTGTGTGTTAAAAATGTGTGTGGAGGTTTTTATGGTTTTGTTTTGTTTTGTTTTGTTTTTTTGACTCTAGTAGAGGGAGCAAACGCTTTGCCTTTCATTTGGCAAGAAGACCTGGAGGGAGAGAGGGCCCTCCCCACCTACACTCCCCTGTTGACCACAGCTAATGGACTAGCTCCTCTGGGCCCTGCGGCAGCTTAAGTTTCCATAGGAGAAGGGAGGTGCGGGGACAGGGGATGCTGGTCCAGGCAAGCAGTTGTCCCTGGCTTCCCGCTCCTTCTCTCTTTCCCTCCCTCCACATTCTCTGCCTGAACCTATAGCCTAGAAAGCATCTCTCCACGTTCCACTTTATTTTTATTTATTTATTTTTGAGATGGAGTCTCACTCTGTCGCCTAGGCTGGAGTGCAGTGGCGATCCTTGGCCCACAGCAACCTCCGCCTCCCGGGTTCAAGCGATTCTCTCCCCCGCCCCTGCCCCGAGTAGCTGGGGCTACAGGCGCACCACCATGCCTGGCTAATTATTGTATTTTTGGTAGAGACGAGGTTTCACCATGTTGGCCAGGCTGGTCTCCAACTCTTGACCTCAAGTGATCCGCCCGCCTCAGCCTCCCAAAGTGCTGGGATTACAGGCGTGAGCCACGGTGCCCGGCCCACCTTCCACTTTGAAATAGAAATATCAATTACTTCTCCCTGAGGCTGGCGCCGAGGCTCATGCCTATAATCCCAGCACTTTGGGAGGCCAAGGCGCGCAGATCACTTGAGGCTAGGAGTTCGAGACAAGCTTGGCCAACATGGTGAAATCCTGTC